GAGATATTAGGTGATGCCTTGATCCACAGATGGCAACTTCTTACACTGGGATCAGTCCCTGATTTAACAAATGACACACAGGGTCCCATTGGCCAACTTGGCTCTGAACATAAAGAGACTTTGTTAGGTTTTGTCTCCCCTTCCCTCACTTCAAAGGTTTATTTGCAAGACACTGAATTTCTGCATTTCTTTTTGTTGCTGAATTCTGTGCTCCCTCTTCCTCCCCCCCACCAAAGTTCTCTGCCACAGCTTAAGTTACAGATCTGAATATTTGATAAATGACACCTTTTTTAGGATTGTTTAATCTCATGTACCAAGGTACTCTTTTATAAAAATATCTTTCAACAAGCCTTCAGCAATACTCAGTCTATTGCAAATACTTAACTCCAGTCTTGTAACAGAAGTGTCTCAAACGGACAGATGATGAAAAATTTAAACTTTAAACTTCAAGAAGCTATCACCTCTGTCCTGTTCTTACACACACTGAAACCCCTTTCAGCCACTCTTTTGGGAGCACCACAGTAAATGTCTCTCATTCAGATGTATCTGGTTTCCTAGACAATGAACTTACTTGTGTTTCTTTCTGCCTGTGCCCTAATAATTTTGCAGTAAGGTTTGATTACTCTGCATAGGTTAAATCATGCTTCCAATGTCACTCCCGATTTGTTTATTCCAATTCATGCACTTTGATCAGGGAGTATATTTTAATTAAAGCATGTTAACTTAATGTATAAGGAGATTAAATGCTAAGGAAAGTGCTTTTTCATCCTGACTAACTCAAGCGGACAATCAGCAGGGCACAAAGAGGGCTGTGAAAAGCCCTGCTGGGCAAGACAATCTCCGGGATGAAGTTGTTCATTTTTTGAGTGAAACAGGTCAGTTTGCAGCTCACAGCAACTTCCAGCCAGTCCCAAATCACTGCAGATCCCACCCAGCATTTCCCCGGAGATATTCCTTGTGCATGCTGCAATGAGACCTCTGAGCCTTGCAGGACTCCCCGCTTGTGAGAGGCTCCCTGATCGCCTTCTCTCGCAGCCAGAACAGCCACCCTTCCATGTACAGAAATCCTAGACATTTTATCACTCACTCCAGCAGTCGCTGCCTTATCTGAAGCTCGATAACCAGAAAACTGACCTTACAACCACAACCTGTGCTGATAAACCCTCACACTGCCGGTGCCCACCTTCCCCCGGGCTGTGAGAAAAAGCACCACATGCATGGGGGAAGCCGCAAGGGGTGCGGGCTGGAAAGGGAGAGAGGGCAGGAGGAGGGCCAGGACCCCCGAGAGCTTTACCTGCCTCTGCAGTGTGCGGCTCCTCCCCGGCACTGCGGGAGCTGGGCGGCTCCAGCCCGGGACCCTGAGAGCGGGGCCAGGCCCAGCGCCGCCCCGCAGCCTCCGCGCCCCGGCCCTCAGGGCGGGCGGGAGCGGCTCCTCCGCCCGGGGCTCGGCCCTCCCAGGGCCGGCAGGAGGGGACAGCTCTGCCCCGAGGTGAAGAGAGCTCAACAAGCTGTGCAGGGGAAGCACAGGGCTGGTGCTGCCCTGCTCCCCCATCTCCCCAGCCCAAGCTGGGGCAGGTGACCCTGGGTCCCTCAGAGTATGAGCTGATTGTACCTGGGATCGCTCGGCAAAGGGAGGCTGTGGTTTTGAGGGATGAAGCTGTTCCAACTTTGCTTTGAAAGTTTCTGCCTAAATCGAGTGCTTGCACAGCATCGTTTTCCAGCAGTGCAACACACCCAGCCCACCCTGACAGAACAGAACAGTTCAGCCACTCCACAGGGCAAAACTCTGCACATCAGTGAGAGCTCCGAGTGCAGCTTGGATGGACACTGGCACCCACAGCAGGACAAGGCAGGATTCCCAAACCCAGGAGTAACGAATTTCGACATTGCAATTGCAACATTTGTTCCCTTAGATGGCATCTTTGGGGCAATTTCATCAACTATTGAACACACGAGTGGCCTGTGAGCAGCATTGACTGCACACAAATGCTCTCTCAGTGCCCACAGGGAGGAAGAAGCCCCTTCACTCCCAAGGAGCCCTGGCTTTAGAAATACAGGCGTAGATACAGTCTGACCTTAGAAATACAGGCGTAGGTACAGTCTGACTTTAGAAATACAGGCGTAGGTACAGCCTGACCTTAGAAATACAGGTGTAGGTACAATCTGACCTTAGAAATACAGGTGTAAATACAGTCCTGGGGGTTATTCTGTTTATTCAACAGGACTAAGCAGGTGTTTGACCCTGCTGAATTTAGGCTTTGTAGAAAGATTTTCTTCATCATCGGTCATGTTTTAATTCCTCATCTCAAGTGTAAGAATACTTGGTTAAATAGAGTGAACAAAGTAGAAAATCTTAGGAAAAAACACCCCTATTGTTTACATTGCACCTTCTGTTCCCAAATGTCTCAAAGCCATTACAAATTGAAATCGTCAGTGACAGGACTAAAAGATGAGAGGCATGAAATGCAGTCTCGTGTGATTTTTAACATGTGGGATTAAAACACTTAAGTACCTTTGAAGAAGTTTGTCTTACTACATATTTGCTACCTTAACCTGAATTAATGACACATTAAAAAAACATTTTCCCACTACTGGAGGAGTACAAAATGAAGGCAGCAGAAGATAAATTAATGGATTCACTCCAGAGTATACATAGCTCATTTTCCCAACAGACAAATCTGACTGCACGACGTGCCAAAATGCAACAGCACATCCTGAAATGAGAATAACACTGAGTCTAAATTACTGTTGAGAAGTAATTTGAAATTTCAGCATCTCTTGCCCTTGCCCCATACTACAGAATACTATTCCACAAAGATGACTGACAACAAAAAGCTAAGAAATTGGCAGGAGAAATCATTAACCATCAGTTTGAGGTAAACCTAAAATGACATTGTTAAGCATCCCACCTGGCATAAAATCACCATTAATTATAAAAACCACAAAAAAACCCCACAACAGACAACTTTTTTAGACTTCAAAAGCAACAGAAGTCAGTTCTTACTTTACCTACCTGAGGGTTCTCTGCTCTGTCACACTTGCAACCCAAGCACTGTATGACATACACCAGCCAGGTCTGTACTACTTATGATGCCTCTTGTTTTAAAGAGAAGCTATATCCCAACTGGCAGAAATTATCCACTCAAACAGTTTTTAAAACAAGACTTGTTAAAATAAACAGCATTTATTTAGTGCTCTTGAAGAAAGGAAAATATCTTAAGCTAGCTAAAATGAAAATGTCTCAAGCCCCTATAGCCTGATCCTCACAGGCAGTTTGACTCAGAAAATTTGCAAGAAACTGCCTGCAACTTTTTAAAGCTGAAAACATTTGGCAACACTTGCTTAGAGGGTTTGTTTTTAAAGCCATCAGTTTAAAGTGCAGTTTTGACAAGTTCTACTGTAACCCCTTTAGCTGGAAAACGGCAAATGCAAAAGCAATGAGGATTTATGAGGCTTTGACAGGGAAGAACATGAAGGAAACCCAGCCAAAAGTGATACATTTTTTGTGCACTGTTATCCCATTAAAGAATAATTAAATGCTGTTTAAATAAATACAAGGTTGTGTTGCTACTGAAAGCTTAATTCTCAACACAAAGAGCAGTTGCTGCAGACAAGCATGGCTATGGTTTACAAAAATGAACACAAAAGTTAATGCAAAAGTCATCTCAAAAAAGTTTATTAGCATGATTAAAAACGTGAAGAATGACAGTAAGAGAGAAAGTAACTTAGCATGGAAGATTATCCATTTCAACAGTTTCATTCAACAAGGCTTGAACTGAATGGATAACTTTATTGCCAGATTTTGCTTGATTTCTTTCACAACAGTTCACACTGTATCATTTTCACCATTATAAAGACTATTGCTTTTGTTTGGATATGATCCCTGTTGCAGGTAAGTATAAAAAAATATCACCCATTGCTGCTGGATTGCAGAATGCAATGTTGGTTTAAGAGCTGGTAAAAAAGAAATACTCAGCTGAGGAGTCCATTTAAAAAACAACCTTTTTTCCCCCCCACCTAATCACACTACAAAGAAATACATTATTATTTTGGCCTTTAAATTTCTTACATTGTATTTATTTAGCATGGCAATCCCAAAATTCCCTCCCTTTAAGTAACCATAAATCAAAATCCCCTTTCAGAGGCTGCTTCTTGGGTTAGATTGTGGAGCTTTACTTCACACTGGCTTGAGGACAAAGACAGCATCATCCAGCACGTAGTAGTCATTGTACATGTCACCTTCACAGAGGTAGGGCAGTCTGGTGAAAGCCTCAATGGCAAAACCAGCTTTACTGAAAACTTCTGGCAGGCTGTTCACCTGCTCTTCCCAAGTGTGCCCTTTGATTTCCAAAACTTCTGAGGGCTTTTCCCACTTGCCACCTACTGAGAAAACAGAACAGCTTTGTTTCAATTATAAAGAAAACTTTATTGTGTGCTGCATTTTCCTACAGAATGCATAATTACACTAATTATGTTCCATTCCACTACACACAGGAGGTTGCCACACCACTTCCAGACCTGTTGCAAGACCAGTTTCAGTTTATCCCTGCTGTTCAAAAGCAGCTTCTTTAAGGTTATCTTTTGTTACATTTTTAACTAGAAGTGCCAGGAGTCGCTAAAAGGTAACTGCCATTAGTGAGGCTGGTGTCCAGCAGACAGGCACAGAGGTAATTACAGTAATTAGAGTCAGCAAGTTGAAAACTATGATTTGCTGTGAAGCTTTCACCAGCAGATCACCCATATCACAGTGGAGAGCTACTTTGTCCCTTCAGTGGCCACCTACCATCTGCTAAAGGCTGCTGAGGGTCATATAAAATTAAGAAGCTGATTAAGTAGCATGCTGGAAAATGTCTTTTTATTTGTTATATCAAATGAAATAATCTAAAGGGTTATAGGTAAAACTCTAAGGAATTCGAAATGTAAAGTTCTTCACTCATTTTCCAAGTGATGTCATCCACAACAAACAAAGGCTTTCTGGTTTGGTCTGTACCTTTAAACAGTTTGCTAAATGCAGTAGTAAACACCCTTCTAAACAGGAAGTTCTACATCTTGTGATTAAGACAGTTCTGCAAATCCAAACATTTCCTAAGTTCCTCTTCCTTCAAGAAGATTCATTTCCACAGAGATACAAGAAATGGCATCTTTCAACAAATTTGAAAATGTGCTAATGTTGGCGTTTGACTGGATCCTGTTTGGTGCTGGTAAGACTTTAAAAAAATTTCTTACATTTTCTCACTTAACAGCAGTTAAACAAAACTGAGAATTTTGTGGTTATGATTTGCAGCACAGCTACAAAAGAAAAGCAGTGAAAAGGTTTGCTGAAAATCAGGTTAATTTCTGCTATTGTCATATAACTTCCAAAGTACACAGCTGCTAGCAAATGCTTTTTTCTTCCAAAAGTCTGAAAGGCTGCTGTAATCTGCAATTTCTCGGTCAAATCCTGCTGCACTTCCCTGCTTGGAACACTCCAGCAGCAGCCTGGATTCAGAGCAACTGTGTTTGTTTGGGTGGAGGGTTTGGGAAGTTCAGCAGGCAGCACCAATATGACCTGAGGCCAGGGAGCCCTGCTCTGCAAGGACACCAGAGCCTGTGGGTAAGGGGGAAAAGAGAAGGGGAGCAGCTGCAGAAGCACAGGGTGCAAGTACACCCACAGCTTACAATCTTCACATGGCTGTAGTGCTGTGGAATGGCTCTGATACGGACCTGACACAGAATCAGTTTCACTTTACTCCTAAAGAAGTCACAGACACTGAATCTGATGGATTTAGTGAGAAAAATGGTGAAGGGACAATGCTAATTGTTCACCATGGACAGGTTTACAAATTGTGTCTCAGCAGTACACTAAGAGATGTCAGTTTATTTATCTTCTAGTTTGTTATTTTCTGGCAAGCAGAAAAGGATGCTATTTAGATATTACCTTTATTCTTGCTGCAATACCCTCAATGCCATAGTTTAAATAACCACACTATTTGTTTTAATAAAATTAAATATATTAACACAGAATACACATGATATTAAACCACACATTTTTGTTCCTTAATTAGAATGCTCTTCTCTGATTAACCTTGTTTTCTCTGCACATTTTTAAATGTCAGGACTAACAAGCATTATTATTCTTAGAAACCCAGAGTCAATATATATGATGAAGTGGAAGAATATCTAGGAACTATTGTGAATTCTAATCAATGTTATGAAGTCGCTAAATTATAAATGTCTTGATTTATGACATTTCCACTGCCTGCCTTCAGCTAGTCTGGCTGACTCAGACCAGGAGCAGAGGAGGAGAGACAAAGCCCTGCAGAACTGCTCCACTGAGCAACTGCACTTACACCACACAACACCCAGCCCCACTGGCCAGTACCCCCACAAACATGCAGCACTAAACCTCAGGCTAGAAACAGCACCAAGTATTCTTCTGGTCTTCTCCAGTGCCAAAGGAAACATTCACATTGCTTTGGATCTATCAATCTTCCCTATTTTATCAAAAAATAGAAAGGCAAGCATATCACCCTGTAGGTAAGAGTCAAATGAGCACATGTGCAAGCTGTAGGAACTGTCTAAAAACAAAGTTTGCTGAAAACAGCCTTAATAATTTCAAGTTTGAAACACAGTTAGTTTCTTCCTTTTCTCCCACCTTTCCTTGAATGAACCAAAAGTAGCTGTTTTTTCTTTTTACTGTACCACTTTTTAGCTGTCTCTCACACCACCAACTGTTCCTTCCCAACAGGTGTTGCAGGTCACTGCCGAGTCACTGTCACACAGCCCAGGTTTCAGCAAGCTGACCCCTCCATGAACGTGTCCCTAACATGCTCCTTCTCTGCCTCTGGATGCTCCTTGTCCCCACCTGAAGTTCTGTGGTTTCGTTTTTTAACTAATACACATCAGGATTTGTGTACTCCTGGATGCACAGATCACCAGAAGTATAAAGTACATTCATCAGGAAATAACATCTTACTTCAGATAAAAGATCTGACTGTAAGTGACAGCGCTGTTTACATCTGTGGAATAGCATTTTCAGACTCAGATTCACCCCTTTCTAAACAAACAGGAGATGGAACAGTACTAACGGTAACAGGTCAGTTGATTATTCCTTCTTAATGAAGCATCTTAGAAGAAATAAATTATCTTGTCTAAATACTCTCTTGATTTATACTTTCAAGAATGACATTTAAGATGGAAATACCAACAAACCCATTAGGAGTAGTATGGATATATTAAGATGTTATTAGTAAAACCAGAGGGATTCCACAAATAAGCACCTCAACCTCATTTGCTAGTTAGGCTGCTCTGTCATGTGATGAAGATAACTCTAGAATTCTACAAAAGAAAGAAGTTTTGCACTTATGCTATCTAACCACACTCTACATCCTCTTACAGAAAGACTTTTGTGGCTGTCAGAAAGAAGTATCTACTTAAAAATGGGAAGTAGAGAAACCATCATTTAGTAGAAGTTGCCAAGAGAGTGCAGGGCCTCAGACCTGGGGATTCACTGCCAGCCTGAGAAAAATGCTCCAAACTTTTGTATCACTTGTCTCTAGTTAAGAAAGTGATGAAACTTGAGTAACTACATTTCAGTTTTACATGCCTAAAACAGAAAAAGTAAAAAAACAAAACAGAAACACTCAGCTGGATTATTACTTTATTTATATTCCTTCCTTCCTCTAATTCCATTTCTGAACAGAAGTCTATGAGCTTTATTCAGATATACCTTTACAGGAGCAGAACACTGGATACCATTCTCTCTCTATCCCTAAAGGAAAGGTTTGTAATCAAAACTAACAGGTCTCCGTTGTCCTCACAAACATATGAGTGAACAAAAGGAAATTGATCTCAGTAAGGAATTTAGACTGAAAATTACCCAGAAAAATATTGATTGTATATTGTTCTTTAATTCCTCAGAGAAAGGGAGCTGGAATGCAGAGTCTTAAAAAAATTAAGTGAATCAGAACTGCTCTTTATTCTAACACTCCTTTTTAATAAAGGATCAGGGAAGCAGCTCAGCAATGGAAAACTCATCTCCATGATCATTGCCTCGTCCTTACTGTTCCTGTACAGCTCTGCTGTGCTCATTTCCTTTGTGGTCTACAAGGTAGGCTCTGAGTGATTTTCTGGTTTTCTTCATTTTGTAAATCAATGCAGTTTTAACGTCTCCATAAGGGGAATAAAAACACATTTCTAGCTTTCATAACGATTATATTTAGGTTTTAAAGAGAAGGTTGAAGTCCATGTGCTGCACACACACATCTGTGAACTCCTGAATGGCAGATACCTGGACTCTCAACAGCAACCACATTTTCTTTTTTCAGTAAAGTGCCTAAAGTAGAAGGTATTCTGAAGTTAAAATTACCCTAAGAGTATAAATTTCCAGTAAAAGTAAAATTATTTAAATTCACATCAAAGTATTTATGAGCTGCAGTAAAGTACTGCAGACTGACCTTGCTTGTCTACTGACTCTCTTAATACATGTACAGAACAGAGACCTTGGTAAAATTTAAAAATATCAGAGACTTGGAAGAACTTTTATGCTTACAGAAACAAACCCATTAAAATGCACATGGTTAAAAGCTATGTAATTTTTGTTTTGTTTTTTTTTTAATCTAGAACAAAATTTGTGTTTAGATAAAAACAAACAGAGCTACAACAGGAATCTTTATATGATAATGAGACTTTGACAGGAGAATCAGGACTTCACAGTCCTTACTGGTATGATCTGGTAAAATGACTCTTTCCTGTAGTGACTGCTGTCTAAGCATAAAGACAAGACTGGCTTTTTCACTTTTGTTTTTCTTTAGAAGTGAAGGTACAGAGTGAAGAGTACAGTGGGAAAAATTAAACGAGCCTTCTTCAGGGGAAAAATTAGATCTGTGATGCCATTGGTTTATTTTTGAGAATTAAGTAGTGTTTCAAGCAGGTCCCACTGTGCTCAAAGCAAAAACACTTGCAGCATCTACTACTAGAAGCTGAAAAAAGCTTCATGCATGTGAAAACCTCTGATTTTTCCAACGGTATAAGATGATCTAGTGAAACACCTCCAAACTGACACTGCAAAAGGGCAACAATTTTAACTACTCTGCTAACTTCTCACCTTATATTTTAATTGCTTTTTCATTTATTTTCTCTCCCTCCAGTTAAAACCAAAGCTGCTAAAGAAAAGTGGAAAAGACCAAACAACAGAGAACTGTGTATGTTACCATGCTATTTGCTTTGTCTGTGATCCAGAGCTTCTTCTTGTCTTTCTGAAGCATATTGGGCATCAAATTTGTGATTAACTGATGGTTCCATTAAAGAGACATTCTGAGCTTCTAAGGCTTCACTTTAGATTTGTACAAAATTAGTTATCAATTTATATTGAACTAATTTTAACAAATCAGGTAATTTATTTTTAACAGATTGGATGCATGGTAAAGATAATCTCTGTAAAGGCCATCTCTAACACATTGTTTACTTTAGGTTTTAAATAAATTTTATTCAAATTTCTGACAATAACAGATTTTGCTATTAATCAACAACAACCTCCACCACTACATATCCTTTATAAAAATCAGAAGCCATGCATTTAAAGAGCCATTAAAGAAGGTGTATATGTTAAGTAATGAAATAACAATGAGATTTAAAAACCTTCTACTTGCCAAACTGCATGTTTTAAAAATGCTACTTAGTAACACTCCCAAACACATCTCCAGGTAAGAAACCTAAATTAGAACAGTTAGAAAAAGATGTTTCCTCCAACTCAAAATGTTGCACTGAACCAAACTATTTTAAATTATTTGCAGAAAATAAATAGTGGCCGGAAAGTTTTTCAAGCAATTGCTCAAGAACTTCAGAAACAGAGATTTGCTCAACATTGCCAACAGCCTGTGAGTATCCACCCACCAATACCTAAATTTCTGGGGAAAAACAGACACCAAAAGGTTTTAATGTACCTATTCCCTTTAAAGTTGATAGAGATGTAAAAAAAGTATTCTGAATGACAAGGACATTATAAAGCATTCTAAATGGCCATATGCATACAATTACATATATATATATTTATACATAGTTATACATGTGTGTGTATACACCCCCCCTTTTTAAATGCATGCTTGTACATTTAAAATTAGAACTGCCATAAATTTGTATTTTGCCAAGCAGAGGTCTGGTTCTGTACTGTTTGGTAAAATGCCTGGAGCTATTAAGAGGTTTTGTTTGAAAAGTACTGCTTTTTCAGCTCCTCTTGCTCCATAACCCAGAGTAGGGGATAGAAACATAACAAAACTATTATAAAAGATCTGTAATATATTTAAAGGTATTTTCCTTCCTGCAGCACACAGACTAAGTATTCAACATCACTGTTGAATACTTAGCCACACAACTTATTTATCATTCTAAGTTTATGTCATTAAGTCTTATATGACAGTAATTTTACACGGGCCATGTAAATTATTTAAAAAAAAAACCCAATAAACAAACACAACTTTAGAAATCACACGTATTTGCAAGCAAAGAAAAATCTCTTCAAAATCTTGCTTTGAAAATCTTGCTTCTCTTGAGAAACAGTGTTAATTCTTTCCTATTCTGAGCACAGAGATCATTCAGAGATGCAAGGAGGAACCAAAGGACACATAGACCAAAGTCAAGCACTTCTCCTATATACATTTCACTTCATTTATTTCCATACAGCTCCAATAATTTTCCTCTGTAATTACCCCTTTAAAGCCTTCCAGTCCCTGCTGACATGACCTGGTCCTTGGTTTGACCATCAGGTATGAAAATATGGGCCATGTTTTACTGCCCCTGTGCTCTCTGGAGATTAGGAAAAGCCAACAGGATAAGAAACATGTTGTGAAGACTGTAGGTACCACATGGACAGAAACAAGTGGATAAGAGGGGAGAAAGGATTTTACTGAAACACTAAAGGGATGGAGTTTGCCTCAAAAAAGAAATTCTCCCTTTATTAAAAAAAAATCACCTCAATAACACAACACTTCTGTCCCTAGGATGATTTGGAAGATGACACTGTTTATCAGAACAGATGAGCACATACAGCACTTCAGATTTGTAACTCTGCATGCAAAGGAGCAAAGGTGAGGAAGTCAAGCTTCTTCACAGACTTCCTTTGCTTTAAAGGAAGAGGAGAAAACCTTGCAGGGCAGTGTTCTTTGGGAGTATTTTCTAAACAGATCACCACAACCAAGTGCATTATACCTTACATCTGTGCATATGTGTTACATATTCCATTTTCCATTTCCAAGCACCCAGGGAAAAGACTTCATAAGATAACTGTTGATGTTTCACAAAAGTTTCCTTTTTTAGTTTAGATTTAATTCTGTCTTTTTTTTCTCTTTATATAAATTTTTATGTAATCCTGTTACACAAAACAGGATGTGAAAAATATTTGACAATTGACAGCAACAGAAAATAAACTTGTTTCATGGGTGAAATTCTGGATTTGCTCATGTTAATGGAGTAGTTATTGATGTAACATCTACAGACCAACAGTAAATGAGCCTTAGAACAGTTTAAACAGAGCAAAACCTGTGTATTAGACAGGCAAGCAGAAAAAAACTGACAATATAAACACACAAAAGCTCATTTGGGATGGGAGCATCTTCCAAACCTATTTAGGAAAGTAGTTGTCATTGTGAAAACATTGCTCCTCCAATACTAAAATCTAGTAGGCTAGGCTGACAACTCCCATCTCCCAGTCCCACCATCCCAAGTCAGAAATACCTGGAGCACCACGTTTTGCTTTACAAACCTGTTCAACTTGGATACAAGCACAAAAAAGAACTACATTATCCAGTATACTTTTTTTTAAAGAACCTTTTTCACCGGTTACTAGCTAGACAATCTGCAAAATCAGCACTTTTACAAGATACCTGTTGGTATCAGGCATTTTCCCTTCTAAAGAACAGCTGCATCTTTTATCATAATTTAAATAAAGCAAGGCTTTGTTTAACAAATCAAGGGGCATTTCTCATTTCTGCGAGATGAGAACTGACAACTGAGACAAGAGTCCATCTTACACACTGTGTTTCCAGCTCAGTTAACAGTATTTCAGGAGGACAGAACACACACCTTTGCCTTCTCATCCCATCAATCCATTACAAGGATATGAACACATTCAACAGGAAATTTCACACTCCCAGCCTCCCAGTGTTCACTACTTCTGAAGTATGGCATGGCATTTTTATTTTAGAGAAACTTACACCAGTCCAGTCATGTATTATCCAATAATGACTTTTTCTGTCTGTATTAGGAAATACAAAGAATTCTTATATGACTCTGTGAGACACTATTAAAAATGAAGTTGTGGTAATACTTGTTCTTAGTGACTGGTCTAATACCTGATGATTCATCAGGCTCTCCTGCCAAATTTAGACACCTGCACTAACTGCATTCCTGGTTGAATGCACATTGAAATAAAAACTGAAAAGCCCCAGAGAGAATTTATGACTGAGCTCCTCTGGACTCTAGGTGTCACTGTCATTCCACAAACAGTAAGCACAGATCTGTATTTTAATTTCTTCTCCACCTTGCTTTGTTCTCTTAGAGCAGGTTTTATGTTATTCACATAGACAGTTTCTACCATTACCATCCCATTATACTGCATGTAATAACCTAAATATCTCACTTTGATTAAAATAATTTATCCACTTCAATCTATGGATCTATCACTGGATCAAACACCTTACCTGTCCCAATGCTTTTCCATTTGCTCTCCCTCTACAAAATTAAAAAGTTTCTCTACAGGGGTCCAAGCTGGTTTTAATGAGCTGCTACAAGAAGTTACTTGAGCTGAGGAATGTTCTCCTCTTTGAATGTTCCAAGTATAATTTTGTTATATATGAAACATATGTATAGATCTATTTTTAAAATGCATCGTGTAGAACAGCTGAATGAAAATACTGAAATTCTAAAATGGCTTTTGCATCATGAAGACAGTCTGGCAACTAATTGTCTGTTTCTTTAGCCCACGGTTAAATTGATCTTTATTGGGAAAGCTATAACTTTTGTGTGTGCTAACCTGCACTGTTAACAGTTTAGATAGGTCTGTATCCATAATTGTGGCAAATAGGGGAAAAGGATTTCTACAAGGTGAAGCCATATTGTTCCACATTATAGGAACAATAAGTTGTAACCAAATATGCTTGAAATACTTTACAGATGCCTAAGTCAAACACCAAATCTATCACACACTACTTTTCAAAACACTTACAAAATTACAAGCTCAAATACTGTATTATAAGTAATTCTTCACCTGATGGCATTACTTCTTATACTTATTTTTTTCCTTTTCCCATCAAAATAACACTAGCATGCAACAAGAGAAAACCAGATTCAGTTTGATGCATTTGTGATTACCAGATTATGATTAGTTCTGTATTTTTCTGGGCATCCATACCTTTCTACAGACAAGTCTTAACACTCAAGGAGAGCCAGATCAATGACTGATGAACATCAGCCTCCTGGAGTTCAAACCACCTTCAGGGTGCTTCTACCTGAATCCACAATCACAGGCATGTAAAAAGGTTTCTAGTCTCTTTAGAAGATTAGTCATAAGGACAGATTAATCTAAAAACCTCTCACATATTTCTTTTAAATCCAAGCAGGGTAAATAATTGAGTTTTGGCACTGAATTTTACTTCTTTACTCCTGTTACTAGTACAATGTAAATTCATACAATATTAATAGTGGGGTTCATATTTTACTTTGGGACCTCATGTTGGAAAGTGAGTTATCTTTCTATGGATTTTTAGGTGGGATTCATCTGGAACACTTGAAACAGCTTGACTTGAATGGCTCAATTCAGCATTAGACAGTTCTGGTGGTTTTGCTCTACTGGTCACTAGAGACAGCTGGGGTAAAAGGTCCTCATCAGGGACCAGCTTTTCCAAGTTGCTCCAACACAGCTGAAATGTGGTAACTTGCAAAACAGGATCTGTGACTTCAATATTTGAGCTTTTTGTTGGTGTCAACAAAACAGCTTACATCATGTGCCCTATTTACCTATGATTTCATACTTCTACTAGTTATGAGTAAAAAATCAAACACAAACATGTCTTTTATGAAACATTTAAGCCAGGGATACTGGATCATACACATATTTTCTTTACCTGCCTACACAGCTGTTAACTGTGCACTTACCATTTTCCACATAGGGGTGAAATGGCAGAACCAGTGCTAGGATGACTCTGCCTCTGGTTGGCTCCAGTACACTTCTAATATCTTTTAATACAGTCAGTGGTTGATCACAGCGATCCAGCAAATTCAAGCAGCTGATAACATCATACTGAAATCCTGTGTTTTGCCATTCATTTACACCAAGCACCCTGTGAAAGGAAAGAGATACAATCTGTTAAATAAAAACAAGCTGATTTCAGACAGAACTACTGAAGAGAAGAATTCCCTGTGGATGTGTTGATAGTGCAGGTAAGGTCAACCATTTAGAGAAGAGACAGACATGATCCCTTCTGGTCTTTTGGAAAAGGAAACTAAATCAATGATCAGCATGGCTGCATGTCCAGCCCTATGAACCTTTATACAGTCTGATAAACATCAGGTAAAAAACGAGACAAAAACCAATGCTGCTAAGAGGGATCATCACATGTGCTTGTTTCTCTGCTTTTGTACAGGCTACCCTTTTCCATAACAATCAAACAATAAAGGAATTGACTGAAAATCCTGAGCATTCATTAAATCACAAATAGATTACTTGCTGTAGTGTCTGATATAAAGGATGTAGGAATTACTCAGTCGATACCTGTATTTCTTCTTCTGAAGCTGCCATATCATTGTTTCAGACAATTCAGTGGCATAGATTTCTTCAAAGTGAGGACTCATAACTTTAGTGACTTCTCCATCTCCAGCCCCTAAATCAAGAAGTCTGTGGGATTTCCATTCAGGATTTATTTTAAGCAGTCTTTGAAATTGTTCTGGGGAAAACACAAACATGGAGCCCCTTCCCAGCAGCCTAAAATGTAAAAACAAGAAATGACCAATTTAGTACAAACTTTAATAGGACAGGCAGTGAAGAAATTCAGAATGTGCTCTGGCAGGAACCAGTCATACATAATAGTAGACAAGGTCACTGCTCAGATAAATTTTAAATCCAGTTCAACTTGCCTTGCACTTGTAAGAGATCAAACACAGAGCCACATGCAGTAACAGTGGTTAAGACTCCAGAAAGAATTTGATTAGGTAAGGAAGAGCTCATGGGGTGCAGCTCAAGAAAATGATTGCATTTAAAAAAAAAAGAAGGAGAAGAGAAAGAGTAGAAAAGATAAAGACTGAACCTTATTTGTCACATCTGCAGATTTGAATCTCTGCTACCTACCTTAAAAAAAAACAAACAAAACAACAGGATGAAATAACAGAGGAAATAAAATGGCTGCAGACACAGAAGTATGCACAATGAACGAGGAATAGGATGTGGAATGAGGAGGGAAGACAGAAAACAGATTTAAAGAAAGCATGGGGGCAACGCTGCTGGAGGGGCAAAAGAGGTTTTTTAAATTCTATGTTACAATGGCTTTTGCTGCTATCTGCAGATCCTGCACTCAACATGAAAAGCTGTGGAACAGAAAATAGACAACTCATTAAGGAATTGGGTAGAGGTGACAGTTGGATTCCTTATGGATCAAGTCAATGCCATACCCGCCCATGACTGTTTGAAGACTACACAGTGACACGTTTCAGCTGTCACAGCAGAATTCAGTGATGAAACTGTTAGAAGAACAGGCAGAGGAAGAAGAACTGGTCACTAATAGACTGCAGGTAGATAAATACTATTCGTTAAACTCCTGTTGGATAGCAGGTTAAACTTAAAGACAATGAACAGGAAAAAAAAAGCAAACAAGAAAAAAGGTAAACAGAGACAAAAAGACTCAAAGAATAAAAAATGTGAAAAGGAGCTGGCCTAGGAAAGACTGACTACTAAAGCCCAAAGAAACAAAAAGGACAGAGTATACAAAGTCATAGAGAAGAAACTAAGCAGGATATCAAATGTATAAAAATAAACAGACTACATCCAATTTAAGTAGAGCCCCCTTGCAGCACACACGTGTCAGTCCACACTGTATAATTGGCTCATAGCTATTATTCCTAACAGCATTATGAGGTGTTATTCAAAGCCCTGAAGAGCCTTTGAAAAAAAATGGAAGAGAAAGGAAGAAGAGACCAAAGGAACCTTTATATAAAGCTACACATAACTAAGAACACCACAGGGAAGCTCATAAAGTCATCTGAGTAGAAAATAAGGAAAAAGACTATTTTTCTAGCCCCAGTAGACAGCTCCTATTTTGTATCAGACTGTGCAGAAGTATGCAGCACGTGCAGAGGTGGGGACACTGGAGAAATTGGCTAAATGTAACAAAATGCATTTTTCATAAGGTCAAAGCTGGTAAGCTGTTAAATGTGTCTGAATGGGGTAAGGTGAGCAAAAAAAAGCCCTGCCTTGTTTGAAAAAAAAACAACACTAAAGCACCCTTGAACAGCCAAACTCCTCTGCAACTGATGCAATAAGAATTGAAGAATGCTGTTTTATCAATTTATGTTTTCCTGCTTTGCTGATGGTTC